TCGACGTCGCACTTCATGATGGAGTTGTAGACGGTCTCGTGAATACCGCAGGATTCCATACCCAGGAAGGATGGCTGGAAGAGAGCCTCGGGGCAACGGAACCTCTCGTTACCGATGGTGATGACCTAGAAAATCGGTGGGATTTTCGTTAGACGGTGTCGGGGGAATTTTGACATTGCGATTTGTAATCATTGAGGGGGGGCGGGGGGAGTTTTTTACCTGTCCGTCTGGAAGTTCGTAGCTCTTCTCGAGGGAGGTGCTGGCAGCAGCGGTGGCCATTTCCTGTTCAAAGTCCAGGGCGACATAGCAGAGTTTTTCCTTGATGTCACGGACAATTTCACGCTCAGCTGTGGTGGTGAATGAGTATCCTCTCTCGGTGAGGATCTTCATGAGGTAGTCGGTCAAGTCACGACCAGCCAAGTCCAAACGGAGGATGGCGTGGGGGAGGGCGTAACCTTCGTAGATGGGGACAGTGTGGGATACACCGTCTCCAGAGTCCAGGACAATACCGGTGGTACGACCTGAGGCGTACAGGGAGAGGACAGCCTGGATGGCGACGTACATGGCTGGGCTGTTGAAGGTTTCGAACATGATCTGGGTCATCTTCTCACGGTTAGCCTTTGGGTTGAGGGGAGCCTCAGTCAGGAGGACTGGGTGTTCCTCAGGGGCAACACGGAGTTCATTGTAGAAAGTGTGATGCCAGATCTTCTCCATATCATCCCAGTTGGTGATGATACCGTGCTCAATTGGGTACTTCAGGGTGAGAATACCTCTCTTGCTCTGAGCCTCGTCTCCCACGTACGAGTCTTTTTGCCCCATACCGACCATCACTCCCTATTACCAAGCAATTATCAATAGGAGGACGTGATGCCAGAAATATCGCGGAGAAATCGAAAGAGAATAAAAATCCCCCTTACCTGATGACGGGGACGTCCGACGATGCTGGGGAATACAGCACGCGGAGCATCGTCTCCAGCAAATCCAGCCTTGCACATACCGGATCCATTGTCCACGACCAACGCCGCAACATCATCGTCACACATCTTGATTGATTTTTAGGATAGCGTTCTGCGATGAAAATAAAATACTCATGAGTAACAATCCCAATCAACAAATCTACAATCACTGATCCCGAAACTTGTGCACTTTCTCAATCACCCTCTCTCTGAAATAAGGAGTGCAACAAGAACTACCGTCCGACAGTGGAGCATGACATATCGAGTCAGCTATCGATTTAGCCGACTGGACAGATCAATTACCCCGTCAATTCGCGCACAAAGATCCCAGTTGGCACAATCTGGGACAACTCAATTCCCATAAACTACCCTATCAGTATCACAGATCAGCACAGTATCTTCACCGCAAGCAAATCAAGTAAACCAAACGAAGAAAAAAAAATGTACTTTACAATCCAGATTATCGAAATAAAGTGAATGCCTGTTGTATGTACCGTTAAGAAATGTAAAAAATCGTTGACGCGCTGAAGGCGTTCGTCTTGCAAGGGACCAAGCAGCGAGTGGCGGACTGACGGCGATGTGGGGTCCCTTTATCCATATTGGTCTGAGCCAAAAATAACGATCCGCCCCTTACATGGAAATCTACTGCCACGCTATACCCGCTATGCTCTCGCCAACGTCTACCCACAGGTCCTTACTCTGCCCTAAGTGATAAAGAGAGACGGAGAAAACGACGTAGTCAAAGCGTCGACGAAACGCCGGTACGTCGACGCCCCCTGAATCCAAATAAGGCGCCTGTTGCCCCACCATTTTGCATTTGGCTTTTGAAAAGCTAGTCAATGTGCGAGACCGAGAATTAAAAGCTCATTCTCCCTCTTTTTCGTGATAATATCGGACAAGAGACTTCCCCAAGACGGCAACATCCCGGGGACATTCATTTACGCGTTTTCGATCGAAGGTGTTACAATAAAATTCTCCACTCATGATTTTGCAATGGAATATTTTGGATTTTGGGGCGAAAATCAGGGGGACGTATCAGCGAATGGTCAGAACTCATTGTTCCATGGGGAAGAAGCTATTTTGGTTGTCATGACGGAGGGAATCAGTGAATGGAGAAAAATATTCGAGAGCCTCTTGGGTTTTTTTGTTCCTCAACTTGGAAATAAATGCGGGGGGTAATTCTGTGCAACACTAGCCGCTCCACTCGACTTCCAGACAACATCCGAAAGCGACATGTGCGGAGCCCTCGGAGCATCTGGGTTGCAAGACTCCGGGAAAGAATTGACATCATGTGGTAAAAAAAATTTATGGTGAAGACCTCTGTTATTTTGTTTGTCCCCGGGAGTTTGTCGCATGATTTTGTAGATTTGGAGGATTGCACCTATTGAATGAGGCTGTTTCGAGGAGTAGATGTTACGGTTGAGGGTTGATCTTATTTTTGTGATCGTTTGGTGCGGGGAATGCAATTTTTGGAGGGGGGGGGGGCGAGTGTTAGACCGGGAATTCATGCATTCACACGTGTGTAAATTCGAAGGATTGGGATGCTTATTGTTGAGAGAAATTGCATTGGTCGCACCTCTTCGATTATGTAACTTGTGATAATTGGATAATCGAAAATAGTTTGTCGATAAATCTAATGTCCCTGTGAGCGAGTGCAGTTCTAATTTGGTTTTGGGCGTTTGAGCCATTCCCATTATTGAACTATCATTATCTTATATTCGAATGATTATGGAGAGTTGATTGATGTTGAGAGGGTGGCAAAATGAAAGCATGTGAATTGATCGGCTGTAAGAATATAAGATAGTATTTATTCCATAAGATGTTAACTTATTTATATACAAAAGTCGAAATTTTTGCTCAGATGGCAGCAATCGCCACAGGACAAACTAAATACAAAATGTAATAGCGTCGTGAAGTAATGTGACGAAGCGGTGCGGCAATATGTGATGTTCTTTTGCAAATTGAATATTTTTGATAGTAGTAGTAATAGTAAAGTGTTTCGAGAGAAACTTCTTAGAAGCACTTGCGGTGGACGATGCCAGGGCCGGACTCGTCGTACTCCTGCTTGGAGATCCACATCTGTTGGAAGGTGGAGAGGGAAGCGAGGATGGAACCACCGATCCATACGGAGTATTTCCTCTCGGGGGGAGCGATGATCTTGATCTTGATGGTTGAGGGGGCGAGGGCGGTGATTTCCTTCTGCATACGGTCAGCAATACCTGGGTACATGGTGGTACCACCGGAGAGTACGTTGTTGGCGTACAAGTCCTTACGGATATCGACGTCGCACTTCATGATGGAGTTGTAGACGGTCTCGTGAATACCGCAGGATTCCATACCCAGGAAGGATGGCTGGAAGAGGGCCTCGGGGCAACGGAATCTCTCGTTACCGATGGTGATGACCTAGAAAATCGGTGGGATTTTCGTTAGACGGTGTCGGGGGAATTTTGACATTGCGATTTGTAATCATTGAGGGGGGGCGGGGGGAGTTTTTTACCTGTCCGTCGGGAAGTTCGTAGCTCTTCTCGAGGGAGGTGCTGGCAGCAGCGGTGGCCATTTCCTGCTCAAAGTCCAGGGCGACATAGCAGAGTTTTTCCTTGATGTCACGTACAATTTCACGCTCAGCTGTGGTGGTGAATGAGTATCCTCTCTCGGTGAGGATCTTCATGAGGTAGTCGGTCAAGTCACGACCAGCCAAGTCCAAACGGAGGATGGCGTGGGGGAGGGCGTAACCTTCGTAGATGGGGACAGTGTGGGATACACCGTCTCCAGAGTCCAGGACAATACCGGTGGTACGACCTGAGGCGTACAGGGAGAGGACAGCCTGGATGGCGACGTACATGGCTGGGCTGTTGAAGGTTTCGAACATGATCTGGGTCATCTTCTCACGGTTAGCCTTTGGGTTGAGGGGAGCCTCAGTCAGGAGGACTGGGTGTTCCTCAGGGGCAACACGGAGTTCATTGTAGAAAGTGTGATGCCAGATCTTCTCCATATCGTCCCAGTTGGTGATGATACCGTGCTCAATTGGGTATTTCAGGGTGAGGATACCTCTCTTGCTCTGTGCCTCATCACCCACGTACGAGTCTTTCTGTCCCATACCGACCATCACTCCCTGATGACGGGGGCGACCGACGATGCTGGGGAAGACAGCACGGGGTGCGTCATCTCCAGCGAAACCGGCTTTGCACATACCGGATCCATTGTCCACAACCAAAGCGGCAACCTCGTCGTCACACATTGTAGTGTTTTTTTCTAATCAGTTTTTCTGTAAAAATCGGAAAAATTCCACAGGTCAAAACAAGACCAGAAAGAACATCTTATATTGTCCACTAACCCCCGCGATTCTCTCCCCATCAATCAAACCCCAGAAAAAAACCCACCGACATTCAATTCCCCCAAAAAAAAATCGAAATCTGCAAATATTTCTGAATTGTTGTAGATATCCGGAACAATTGACCCAGTTGCCTATTAAGCTATCGGCAACAGAGGCAAGGAGTGGCCACTGTAAACGGGGGGTTCTATTTCGAGTGAGCGTGCTCTATGTTTAGCCGGAGCGCGGACACTCCCTATAAGTTCAAGCGTCACATTATGAACCCCCCTGCTGCCTCTTCACCGAGCAACTCTGGCGTGGCGACGACAAGACAGAGATGAGAATGACGACTGCACGTGCCAAAATTATGCCCCAACAAAACGACGAGAACCACCCGAAATCCGGCCAAAGACCTCAAAGACTCCGTCAAATCTTCGTAATTGCATGTCCCACCGAGATTTCCGTATTACACGCCCCCGACGAACTAATTGCCCCGAAAAATAAAAATAAAAATACCCTCCGGGGCTACGACAGACTCAACAAAGATAATTTTCCCAATTAAATTTCTGATTGATCACTGGATTCATCACTGACTCTAGCTTTTGTAAACAAATCACCGAGGAAAAAAGGTCCCGTCAACTCACTCAATCAGCACCGATGTCAATTAAAATTTAAACAACTCGACTCGTACCGTCAGTGAAATATGATTATCAAATTTTTTTTATTGTACGTACCGTGGCACGGGACAGAGTGTTGTGGCGTCTGTGCCTCCACGGCGTCCCGACGTCCAATATATGCTCTCGTTCCTACGCCCCCGCATTTCCGTACGACAACGTCTTCCCCAACAGGCACGAAAAAGGCGTGCGGCTCGGAGCGTCGCGACGCCTCACCGAACTAGGCGGCCCTATCCTGGATTCGCCACCTTTTTTTTCTCCTCTGGCTACCCCAAATTAAAGAATTTTCATCATCGGGCTTTCTCCCCTGGCTCTCAGTGTCTATTCACACGAAAAAAAGTCATCATAAACAATTGTTTGGTTTATGAGCCATTATTTGATTTAAGACCCTTCGGCCCACGAGAATTGCTGAATTGATTTGTCTCCTCCGTTCGAAATAAATTCAGTTTTAATTTCTTCGGTGCTACACTACACTGAGAGAAATATCGTCATAATATCACAAAACTAATTTCTTGCGCCAAATATATCATCTCTTGAGGATCAATTTCTTGGGGTAAGAATTCCGGATAATGTGTCAGACAATGTCAGATTTCGGTGAAGTGTTCGTGACTTGAACGTGAACATTGCACGATAAAGTGAGAATTTCTTGCCACGAGAAATCGGTTTTTTCGTGTCAGACGATGAGAAAATGACTGAAAATATTAAAAGCCTCGATTCAGTGAATCATGAATCAGAGACTTTCATATTGAATGAGTAGAGAGTTTATGCAGAGGAAAACCTCCAGATATTGAAAAAATATAACCGTCGCTTACGCTCAATCGGTTTGAGTTCGAAGGGAAGCAATATCTTCTTTTCCTTCTGTCAAACTGTTCTTGTCTTTTAAGGAATATTATCTCATTTCGAAAAAAGACATCACCTTTTCATTCAGTAACTTCTTCCTTAGCCTGAAGAGCACCGATTTCTTGTCTAAAAACTACCATAAATTGATCAAATATGTATGCGATGTTCTTCGCTCAAGAAATAATTTTTGTGATATGTCGATTTTTCTCTTAGTGTAGCCTCACAGCAACAACGAATGTCTGAATTTCACCCACTTTTTGTAGACATTTTTCAGACACTAAACAACGTCTGAATGAAATTAAAATTTGCCTGAATTTCAAACATGAATTAATATGTTTAGGCGCACTCTTAGAAAGAAAATGAAATTTCATGGGCAATTGACTAATAATTTTCAGGACAGTGACACTGAATGCGTTTCGGGGAAAAGAAATCATGAAATTTCAGGTTTACCTGAAAATTGAGTAAAATTCTAGAATTTTAAGCAGCAGAAAGACGAGAATTCCTTAATTTATTTGAATTTTCCATCTAATAGGAATATTCAGTGCCAAATTGCATTGAATGTTTACTTCTCTTTGATTTTTCCACGAAATTCTGAATTTTTAATAATCCCTAAAATTTTAATTTTTAAAATTTTAATTGAAAACAAAATTTTAATTAAAATTTTTTCTATTTCAATTGTTAAAATTCCTTGAAATTTCAGTGGTAATTAAACTCGATAAAAATTTCCAAAAACTGTAAAAAACGTCTGAATAAAATTGATGATTAAAATGTTTAGGCGCCTGTTCGTGTGAAATTCAGACAAATTTTCATTTTATTCAGACGTTTTTTAGCGGATAAAATTATAAAAAATACGAAGATAATTCTATCTTCGTATTTTTTATAACATACATTGATACATAAAGATACGATAATTCCGTAGTCTCTCATTTTTCATAAACATTTAAACGTGTTAATGAAGTCTTATAGTTGCTTTCGAAAAAAATTCTCGTTGAAATAAAACTCAACATCTCTAGCCACTCGTCAGAATGAAAATTCACTATTTTAATTATTGCGTCATCGGTGCACTTAAAATGCTATTATGAAAACTTATCAATCGACAGTTGATCAAACCCATGGCAATAAATTGTGTCGGATGGTTGGGAAATCGGGCAGGGACCTAAATAAAAAATTCCCAGGGGCGAGGAGGCACTCTGGAGGCATCCAAATTAGTCCAAGGGAAAATAGATGACCCAAAGAACACGAAAATTTTACTCAAAATTAAGGGAAAAGTTTTTCATTTTCACGCAGATGATTACTGTTGCAATCAGGGACAGAGGAAAATTCATTTTTGATTGGTATTTTAATGGTCAACAGAAATAATTTAATTCTGATCACTTTTGTCATCAATAATGAAGGGAATTTCATTTTTGATTGCCATGTCAATAGCTCGGAGAAAGAGAAATGATGCTTGATACCATTTTTATTAGAAAATGCGATGACATCAACTTTCATTATTCTTTCAATCATCGATCTTAACGAATTTTTGACTCAAATTTTATGAGAAATCCGAAAATTGAGATTTTTTAATGAAGGAAATTTAATTTTGAATAATTTCTGTTCTCCATTTGTGAAGAATTGAAAATTAAATCATATTTAAATAGTTCTTTTAGAAAAATATTGTTTGAATAACTTTTTTACTCGAAAATGCGATGACATCAACTTCCATTATTCTTTCGATCATCGATTTTAACGAATTCTTGACTTCAATTTTATGGGAAATTTGAAAACGTGGAGATTTTGAAAATTGAGTGGTATTTGAGAATTTTTAAGAAATTAAATTTAATTTTGAATAATTTCCGTCCTCTATTTGTGGAGAATTGGAAGCGAAATCATGTTTAAATAGTTCTATCCAGAAAAATGGTATTTGCAAAATTGTTGATGAAAATTCCTAGAAATATATTTATTTAATTATTTGAAATAAGCTTTTTAAATAATTAAATAAAATAGGAAACACTAGATTTCCGTTCTCAACTTATTAAGTAATGTTTCAATAGTTCTGTTTAAAAAATACTATTCGAAATAATCAATTAGTGAAATGAAGTGATGAATACCATTCCACTTTCCTTTTAGGTAGAACGAAGTGAAAATTATAAACTTCATTTCGGTTTTAAAAACACTAATAAATATATACTATTTAATTTTCCAGAATAAAAAACTATAATCAACTATTCAAAACAGTATTTCCTTTCGATTTTCATGAAATTCCACTCTCTTCAATCAAAACCATCAACATTTTCTTTACATATTTTTCTATTTACGACAGGAAAAGAATACAAAAAATTAGTGTTTTGTTCAGTCAGGTTTTTATTTTAAAAACAATTATTATTTACATTTTTACATATCACAATAACTGATCTTTAAAAAGTTATTAATAATAGCAGTATATATTTGAATAATTTAAATGCAATGACAGCTGCAAGTGCCACAAAAAACATTTTTTATTTCCTCAAAATAATCTGTAAATTCGCATGAATGTAAAATCTACATTTCGTTACGTAAATAATCACAGTTTTTTTTTCAAAACAGTCATTATTTGCATATCTAAAAACCATTAAAAACCAGTATTAAGAAACCATTAATAATATCAGAGTATATTTCTAAACAATTTGAATGCAATGGCAGCTGCAAGTGCCCCCCAAAAAAATTTTTTTTAATCCTCAAAAAAAAATGTGAATGCGAAAAAAAAATCTCTAAATTTGTTTGTGTAAATAATCAAATTTTTTTCTAAAACTTTCACTATTTAAATCTCTAAAAACCATAAAAACTAGTATAAAAAAGCCATTAATAATAACAGTATATCTCTAAATAATTTGAATGCAACGACGGCTGCAAGTGCCTCAAAAAAATCAAATTCACATCTTAAAAAAAAATTGAAATCCCACGAATGTAAAAACAAAAAACAACGTTTCCTAACACGATAAGTTCGTCAGCTGAAGTGGCAAGGTCACGAGGTAGGCGGCACATCATAACACAATAGTTATTTTGGCGGGTGCATCTCCACTGGCGTGAGTCTGACCGAGCCATACTGAGTCATATTCATCAAGCGCCCCAGCGTATCCGTCACTCCGGCCACACCGGCCAAGAAATACGGGGCTGTACATAGTTGAGACACGGAGCACGGATCTACTACATCCCCTATGCCATCGGCAATCGTGAATTGCATAAATGTGATTCGTAATAGTTGGAGAATCTCTCGAGGAATTTTTCCCCATCATCTCTGAATTACCGAACAAAAATTCTATTTTTGTGAGGCGGGATTCTTCTTTTTCAGTTGAGCAGATATGACCCACTTGGAATCAAATTTAGAATTTAGCCTCCGGGTGGAAGGCTTGGATATCAGAGCCACAGGGGGGTGGGAGGTGAATATCATCTCGCCAAAAAAGTCGATGAAAAGCGGAATGTTCACTGATGTATGACTATTCTCGTCTCCGGAAGATGCATGACTATTAAAATCATTCGGCATTAAAAAAGAATAGACAGACAGCAGGCGATGAGTAATATAGTAGTAATAGCGCTTAATTAACATAATCGTGACATGAGATAATGTATATTTACTTGAATAGATTGACATTTGTATAACAATAATACGTGTATAATATTTACAAAATAAATAAAATTATGGTAAACCGTATGTCAGGTGACTGCGTATAGTTGATGAATGATGATTGGGGGGGACAAAGCTATCGTTCGAGTTTAATTTTTTTTATTAAAAAAAAAACACTCGGGTATTTTGTGATGCTGGTGATGACGGCCGACAGGGAGGCGATGTTCCGCGTCTTGCAGAAATAGAGCGTCGCGATACCGAATGGGTGCCCGTCTATCGTTGGATGTGGGGTGTTTTCCCTCTTCCCGATCCTAGGATGGCCGTTTCGTTTGTCTTTGGCTCAACGAAATGGGTGGTTTCAGTCTCTCGGCTGCCTGTTCAGTTTTGCTTGTTGAGGGATCCAGCTGGTGGATGAATAGAGGGGTCAGGGGTCGGGTGATCACGCTGCAGAGGGGAGTATGACACCCCTGTGGGCCGGTGTCCTCGAGTCAAGGTCGGAATTGGAGCCCGCGATGGGGGCGAGGACGACTGCGTTGGGGATGATGGCGTAGAGACACGGTGGTGCGCCGGATGACTCATTTGTGATCCACGACGGTTTGATGATTACGTTGTGGGGGACAACGTAACGTGTAGAGTGACGATGTGTGAGGACGAGGGTGACGCGATCGGGATTACACCGGTGTTTATGCCCTCTTTTGTAATCCTGATGACCAGGTGTGTTATTACCCGGGTGATAATGCTTAGAAGCACTTGCGGTGGACGATGCCAGGGCCGGACTCGTCGTACTCCTGCTTGGAGATCCACATCTGTTGGAAGGTGGAGAGGGAAGCGAGGATGGAGCCACCGATCCAGACGGAGTACTTCCTCTCTGGGGGAGCGATGATCTTGATCTTGATGGTTGAGGGGGCGAGGGCGGTGATTTCCTTCTGCATACGGTCAGCAATACCTGGGTACATGGTGGTACCACCGGAGAGTACGTTGTTGGCGTACAAGTCCTTACGGATATCGACGTCGCACTTCATGATGGAGTTGTAGACGGTCTCGTGAATACCGCAGGATTCCATACCCAGGAAGGATGGCTGGAAGAGAGCCTCGGGGCAACGGAACCTCTCGTTACCGATGGTGATGACCTAGAAAATCGGTGGGATTTTCGTTAGACGGTGTCGGGGGAATTTTGACATTGCGATTTGTAATCATTGAGGGGGGGCGGGGG